TGAGAGACGAAACTGTTCATGGTGATGCTGGACTCCATAGCATAGCAATGGCACAAGAAGAGCAAGGCCTTTGGTTCTTGCTTAACTGGTTTCCATACACAAGTGAACAGCTTCATGCGTCGTGACTCGTGAGTTCAACACAAATTCCTGAAAAATACAAATGGAACTCAACCTTTAAATAATAGTTCTCTACTTATATCTACATGAGCTGAAAAAAAAATGTACAGTCACTAACCTCTTCCTACATAACCAGGATGCTCTGTTTTTATACAAATAGAAAGATATTTTTTTTGTAGAAGAAGAAGAAGAACTGTGGATGTTTGCCGAGGAAAGAGCTAAGGAGGTTGTCAGCACCATCCAACCTGTCTTTGTTTCAGACCAAAGTAGGAACGAGTAAAGACTCTCTTAAAGGACCGTTTTGCAGTTGAGGTTAGAGTTTTGGTGCTCCATTTTTCACATGTGAGGGTCTTATTTGAAATCTTGTTTGGTGAACTTTCCTACGGTCACCACTTCTTAGGAATGCTGTATCAGATGGTGTCTGGTTGAGTTTTCTTGCTGTGTGATTAGATTTGGAGTCAAAACTCATTTCATCACGCTTATGCTGATGTTCAGTATGTGCCTGCACAGGTTTGCTTAGTTTCCCTGCAAGAAAACTCATTTCATCAATGCTTATGCTGATTTTCCTCTCATTGGCGTTTTTGAATCGTAGGTCAAGGTCATAAAATGCAGGATCAGGAACATTTCTGTCGAAATCTCCTTCTAACAAACGGCAGGGCTCTGTGCTTTATGTTGTCCTGGAGCAGGTAAAACACTTAAATACCTTGCGCTTATAAACAGTTTTTTCCATCATCTGTATATCCTCAGCTTATTTGGTAACTCTTTGATTGTGTTGCTTTGTTTAGGTTGACCAAGGATCACCTGTTCAAGCGTAGCATCATTTTGGTTAAGGCCTGGTGCTGTTATGAGAGTCGTTTCCTCGGTGCCAACACTGAACTGATTTCAACATATGCATTGGCCATACTGGTCCTTTATCGGTGAGCATTTGTTTTAAAAATAACCTGAGCTTATTTTGGGCATTGCTTGCAAGATTAACAGATGAATCTCTAATCTCTATCATGAACACTGAACAGGAGCTGCCTAAGTTATGTAACTTATCTAATCATGTTTTTCCAATCATATATCTTAAGACTTATATAATGGCCAAAAAGATATTTTTTTATAGAAGATAATCCAAACTTTGACAGTATTCCAATTCCAATTCCAAAAGAGATGTATCATTATAAGCTACAAACTATAAGCACAGGTGGTAGCAGCAGCAAAGAATACCGTACAATTACAATTTCAAGTAGTAAATGCATTTACTAAGTGGTAAAAAACTCTATACTTCTAAAGTTTCGGACTGTACTACATAGAATCCTATTGCTCCAGAACACCGTCTTGATCTTCAAACTATTGCTCTACGAACAGGAGACCGGCTGTTAGAAAACAAAAAAAACAACGAGAAACAAAGAAATTAAGGATTCCAGTAATGGAAAGAGTTAGAGAAAGAAGGCAAGTAATTCTTAAATAGGTAGTAAGCATTGTTGTTACCTGTTTTGTGTGCATCTTCCTCGTTCGCAGATTGAACAAATGCAAAGTTGCGACTGATGCGGACGTTGAGAACTTTACCATACGAGTCGAAGTGTCTACGCTCTTTTGTGTCAAAGTTGATGACGAACAGTGTCTTAGTAGGCCTCCGATTCGAGGCTCCCTTTCCATCACGAGGCTTCCCAAGCTCACCCTGAAAGCCAGAACAAACTTATAACTCCCTCAAAGAAAGAAGCAGAACAGATCATTCGTTAGAAGAGAACAAACCATATACCTTGGCCCATTCAATTGATGCCTTTCCTTCTTTCCCACGGATTGCATCTTCAGCATCACGCTCGTCTTCAGCATACACAAAAGCATAACCTGCAAGATGATAGTAAACACACAAACTGATAAGCAAACGCACAATATCAAACTCAGCCCACAGAATTTCCAATGCAGGAGTTTGTCAACAAGAAGACACCTCTTTCAAAATCTACATGGGTGACTTCGTTGGGTTTGCCAAGGCTCTTAAGTAAGTCACATCCCTTCTGTCATTTCAGAATTAATATGTCAACAAAAAAACGATAAAAGCCTCCTAGTTGCATACTGCATTCACACAACTACTCCAGAATACTAACCTCCTCCAGCAGTTTTATCAGATAGTTGTCCTGTATACCTGATACCGTAGCCATATCGCTAAGAGTGAAAGATGGCTTGTGAGAAAGTTTCACCAAGTTCTACTACTGTTTCCATAACCACCTGTTATTCGACAGATTATACACATATGAGCGGAAAGAGAAACACACTGGTATGATCTAACATCAGTTCTTAATCAAACAGGATGTTAAGAAAAAATGAAACAGTAATAAATTTTAAGACAAGGTTCAGGATATTCGTACTCTTGAATTGTAAGGTTTCGTCACCACAAGTTCTTTGCCTGGTGTTGAGGATACTCGAGAACTTGAAGCCACCGCCATCAGTTCTTTCCTCCAACCCTCCTGTCATTTGTCATTTCAGATACAAAGTCTAATATGTCCACAAGCAAACCAGAAAAGCCTCCTAATTGCATAGTGCATTCCGTATAGACAAAGGATAGAACAAATTCCTCGCCTCTACTTCACAGCTTACTAATCTTTGTATTCCTAAACATACTGAGAATAAAAAACTAAGGGCTATGTCTAACCTCGAGCAGTTTCAAGCTTGGAACTCGCTTCACTTGGGCATCCTCTATAGCCGTAGCCATTTCATGAACCTGGGGAACAACAAACACACACGGCAACACCACACATCATTATCAGTCGGTCATCGTCCAGGGAATCAATCAAACACATCATATCAGTCGGTCATCGTCCAGAGAATCATATAAACTTCAGGAAAACCTTTCTAGTACCTGTTGCAGGTTTCCAACGCTCGTAGCCTCAGCAGGGAACACATCATACGTATCAGAGGAGATGGCTCCAGTCGAAGTCCAATCCTTGAGCAGTGGCTCTGTAGAGCTAGAATCGGCCGCATCCTGAAAGAAAGAACATTTAAGCCCTGATTCTCAATGTCTAATGTACACACAGTTTCTCTTTCAAAGGGGTTGATTAAAAGATTAATAAACCAACACAAACCTGATCATCTAGGGGGTTATAATCTGGATCTCCAACCAGATCGTCCTCTTCCTCCAAGTCTGATTCACCCTCTGCTTGGTTACCGACTTCTTCATTGGCATTCAAGTCGTCCGCCACATGACCACCGTGATTCTCTTCATCGTCGTTTTGATCATTAGCAACTTCGTTTTGGTTTACCACTTGAGGAGGTACATCAACGACCCTATAATGCACCATGGCAAGCCCCGGATGATTCTGATTTGCATCAATTTTGGCGTGATGAGTTCTTCTCTGGAACTCTGTAACAGGAGTCAACGTAAGGATGGCCTCTGTATACCCAATTCTGGGATAAGTGGAGTTGCCCTAAAAAACGCCCCAATTAGAAAACCTAGAATTCAATTTCAGATAGAAACAAAACAAAATGAAGAAAAGAACCAATCTTTACCAACTTCCGCGAAACGCAATTACGCCTGCGCACTTGATTAACATCGCGCCAAGGGTAATCATCAACGTAGAAATCTTCATCGTAGATGAACAAACCTTCAACAAACGGCGCTGGGCCTGGGGTTTCTTCGGATATGGGGAATTGCTGAACGGCATGTCGCTGATACAGAGCTATCAGGTCTTCCTTCTCTAGCCACTCCTCCATGGATCGATTGAGGATCTCGATTATAGGGTTCTCCAAATTCGGATCCAGATTTACATGCTGAATATTCTCCATGATGCAGATGCGGTAGATTCCAGAAAAAAAAAAAATCGAGAAGGGAAGTGTAATGCGAGAGGAAAGGAAATCGAAAGAAATTAGTCGACTGTTTCGATTTTAGTTGTAAAGGGAAATTTTGTTTTGATCGAAGACGGAGAAGAAGATCATATATGTATAACTTAAGTGAAATTTGTCGCTTCATTCGAGGGTATAATGGGAAACTAAGATTCCATTTCCCATTATACCCTTCTCCGCATAAGCGAAGTTGGCATAAGACCGAGGGTAAACACGTCAAAGACTCTAATTTACTAGATCCAGACGACACGTCAGCACCACCCAAACGTTTTATTTCCCCGGTAAAATTTAATTGGAAGATTTTGTTTTTTTCTTAATCATTTTCTTAACCCAAAATAAATCAATAAGTTTATTTGTGCCGTTTTTGACATAATCAAAACAAATGCCAAAAAAATGAGTTTTATAAAGCGGAAGTGTGAAAGTGAAACTCCCTCACTTTCTATTTTGTTTTCTTTATAATCAAATAAATGCTTAAAATGATTACAAAATTTTACTCTTAATGAAAGCAAAGCAAGATTGGTTTGCTATCCTGATAAATATATAAATATTTCCGGTCCTCTCTTTGCATAATGTCCTAGTCCAACATGATCTTTCGGCCAAATTTTCTTTTTAGCTTATGGCCTTCATAAGTTCAGGGACAGCTCTGCCACTAACCATTTTTTTTTTTTGGAAATATAAAATCTTTAATTTACTACTACTCTCTTAAAAAAAAAGAATTTGCATTTATCTTCAGATAGTTTCCCTTTCAAAACATCACATATGGATACCACTTGAAGTCCTTAACTAAACCCATGTGTTGCAACGCAAATCAAGCATATGCAAATCAAACACAAGTAACAGTAAAAAAGAATGGAATGGCTAAAAAATCAAAGATGTGATTATGTGAAGTAGAGTGAGATTTGTTTGTTTTGCGTTTCTTCATCATGATTGATATTATTGGATTTGGCAAAGTCAGAGTCATAGAGTCCACCAAATCTGAGCGTCAGTGATTCTGCTTTGAGTTATATGACTTCGTGATGTGCATCAACAATTATTCAGCATTTTTATCGACCAATCAATATTCACATTTTTGTATGTGATTCTTTTGGTGTCATACCACTTGATTTTCTTTCTTGGACTCAGGAAATTTCTTCTTCCCATCTTAACGCATCGAAAAACGTTTTTTGTGTGTTGCTTCTTTTTATGTCAAAATATATACACCATCGATCCAACATGTTTCAAAGCTTTGTCGTTAGTTTCTTAAGTATGTATATCAATTGTATGTATATCTTCTTATTTATCTTTCGTATTGTATTTTAAATGGTATCCCTCCTCGGAAGATGAATAAATAAAGTTAAAAAAAAAATGTATATCAGTTGTACAACTGTAAATTTTACCAACGATTTACAATTGATGTAACCATTGCCGATAACCAGTAACTCGGTCTATGAAGCCTGGTTAGGTACTTGAACTCTCAAAGTCTCAAGAACTTAATTTAAATGTAATGGAAAGGCAAGACACCAAAACGATATTTTATCTTCATCTTCTGTTAAAAGATATTATGTTATAAACAATATATGTAGTTATTTAATAATAGTGTTTGAGTTTTATGGATTATGAATAGTTTATAGTTAACTAAATAATCTTACGTATAAATCTAAAAAATCAAGCAGTTTTCTTCGAGCAACAAACAAATGTATTTCATTTTGCACATTTTATCATTCCCTGTCAATCATCATTACGATTTTATCAAGAAAAGGTTTAAACCATTATAATAACCCATGCATTTCACATGTCGTGGACTTGTGGGGAATACTACTATTTTTGCATTTGTTATTAAATTTGCCATATCTCTTTAAATTCTTTCTTCCAAACTTCAACTTAAAAATAGAATTAATGTAGTTCCCACCACATGGCAGGTGCTTTAATAATTAAAAACCTACAATTAGCATGATGCGTGTTTTCTATATTGTGAGTCATAATTAGGCACTCGATATGGAAGGTACAAAGTTCCTTAACTGTTTCCAAAAGCTAATATTTAGTTTCTTAATCATGTTTTGGTGTATGGTTAGATTGTCTTCTCACTTTTTTAAATTGTAATATTTCTTACTTATATACACATGGATAAATTGTGTTCTGCTGATATTTAGTTTCTTAATCATGTTTTGGTGTTTGGTTAATTTGTCTTTTCACTTTATGTTTGGTCATTTTTATGGATGGTTTTTTAGTAAATAATACTCAACTGTGGATGGTTTAGATGTGGATGATTTTCAACTCATAATAACTTATACTATGGATGATGTGATATGGATGATTTTGTAATCCTTTTTACATTACATATGCACATACTAAATCAATTTTTTGGATGGTTTATTTGTGGATAATTTTATATATTATTCAACAAAACTTGTTTACAAACTCGTCTTTCTCTCATATTGAATCTTATATGCAGGTTTACAAACTCAGTTTGCATAGAAGATTTGAGGTTGTGAATATCATGACATAGATATAATAGCGTGAACGTGTTTGTGTGGACATGAAAATATGAGATTCATACAAACTGACTCAAAAATTCACAACAGAAACAAAATCCGTAATTTAAAATCAAACAAAGCAAGCGTCCAATAAAGACTGTACAAAATAGTATTATCCCTTTCTTAATTCGTCTAATTTAAACCGTCCACAGATCTAGCTTTCTGTCAAAAAACACAAAAACAAGATCAAGTTTTTACCTTCCCTTTTTATTAAGGGTAAAATCGAAATCTTCAACACACTAGAATCAAAAAAAAAGTGTACCACTTTCAAAAAGTCCCTTTCTTGTAAAGACAAGTCAAAAAGTCACCAATTAATCTATTATGTACATTTGACCGTCTTAACATAAAGACCCTGACCGGATCCAGCGTGAACTCCCGATAATACCCTCCTTGCAAAAGATTAGATGATACGTGTTCAATGCCTAACCCTGCTTTTCTCTTTCTCCTTACGTGTGTATGACTAGACACGTAGACCCCACTAAACAACCCGACAACCCAAATTAACCTGTAAACCCAAAATAAATCAATTTTGTTTCTTCTCCCTTTCTCGGAGATTTGTTCCTCTGTTCCGGGCAGCCATTGAATTTTGATTCATTGGCTTCACCAAAATTTTAAAAATCCGGACGGTGATACTGATAGCGAAAATGGGAATTCTCAACGACGACGCCGTTTTAATCGAGCCGGGAAAAAGCTCCGGCGATCCCAGCGTCGCCACCGTCAATTGTCCCGATGAATCCGGTCTCGGTTCCACTCTCTGCAGAATCATCCTCGAATTTGGTCTCTCCATAACCAGAGCTGGTAAAAAACTTAATCTCTCTCTAACGACTTCAAATTTGACTTTCCTTTTGTTTATGGGGAGGAATATACTCTGTTTTGTCGGTTACCTTACTCACGATTCACGAATATTCGAAATTCATTTCTGTTGTTACCTTTTAATATCCATTTCTCATGCAAAGTGCCAAAGTTGATTACCTTTTAATATCCATCATTGATGTTGTGAAAAATGGTGATTGCAGATTTCTCAACAGATGGACGATGGTGTTACATAGTGTTTTGGGTCACTCCAGATCATAGCTCTCCTAAACTCGATTGGGACAGCTTGAAGAACCGTCTCTTATCTGCTTGTCCGTCTTGCTTAGGCTCCTTCTACTTCTGTCTTGAGTCAAATGTCTCAAAGCCTCCTTCTCTTTACCTCCTCAAATTCTTCTGCCGCGACAGGAAAGGATTGCTTCACGGTCTGTCTTTCTTCTTCTTCTTCAAACTGTTTCTGTCTTTTTCCCTTAAAATGGTTTAATCAAAGTTCTGATTTTTTTTGGTGGTTGTAGATGTTACTAAAGTCCTGACAGAGCTAGAGCTCACCATCCAGAGAGTCAAAGTCATGACAACACCAGACGGAAGAGTCTTGGATATGTTCTTCATCACTGACGCAATGTGAGTTTTTGCAAGCACTTATTGTGCATTGGCCATTTTGAAGGTCATTGGGCATGATCTCTCGACCATTGACTCTGTGAATCACTATCGTTGTCCTTGAAAAACCTTCAACAGGATGATGGAAGGTATTAGCTTTTGGAGCTTAAAAGAAATTTGCTAAGCTCTAAGCCTTTTGGGGTAGATAACTTTCCTTATTTGCATCTGAAAAAAACTCTGCGGTTTACTTTTGTGTTGTCACAGCTTCATGCCTATCGATACTGGAGGAGAGACGGATCTTCGGTTTGTATATTGTGCTGGTAAGGAGTAGCTACTTACTAGGATTTACAGACCATGTCTGTGTACGTTTAGTAGAGTCAAAGTTTAGTTTTTTTTTTTTTTTTTTTTTCATTTTTGGATCAGCTGCAATTTGTGACATGCTTGGTAATTGGAGTGGAATGGACAAGGAGAAGGCTAAGGATTACATATTAAACTGTCAGGTTTATTTCTTTTCTTGTCTTCTCCTTTGTCTTTTTTTTTCCTTTGAAGTCATACCCTTTTTGTTGTCAATTGCTTTGTTAAGAAAGACGTTCTTGTTCAACATTCTTTGTGCAGTCATATGATGGTGGCTTTGGTTTGATCCCTGGTTCTGAATCTCACGGTGAGTTGAATACAATTCCTCTATAGTCTTTAAATTCATTTTGTCCATATGCAGTAAAAGAAAGTAACACATCCTTTATGTGAATTGAGTAGAAATTGTTACTGAATTGGTCACTGAGGACACACTAATTAGTCATTGGACTGTACTTCACTGGCTATGCCTTCTAAACTTATTACCTGATAATGCTCCTGAGTGATCTGATGGTTTTTCTTGCCTTGCCTATAGAGACAAGCAAGTGATGGTGGATTTCAAGGACGGACTAACAAACGGAGCGACAATGGGATCTGTTTGTTCCCATCCGCTGATTCGGACCTTGCACATGTGCCTAGGATTGGTGCTCTTCTTAAGCACATTGCTCATGCATTGCTGTGTCCAGTACGGTGGATTCAGTAAATTTCCTGGAGAATTACCGGATCTGTATCATTCTTACTACGGTTACACGGCTTTTAGCCTCTTGGAGGAACCGGAGTTGAGTCCTCTGTGTCCTGAGCTAGGGTTACCACTTCTTGCAGCTTCAGGAATCTGATGTTTAGGTTGCATATTTTTTTTATCTCTAAGTAACATTATTTCAGCAGTTAGTTTCCTGTTGGAATATTCGTTGATTATTGGCTCTCAATATGCTAAATCCACAAAATGAAACAGCATAGGTTCTTAACTAAAGAAAACCCATATTTTCAAGTGTTGAATATCATGTGTTTTTATTTTTCATCGTTATAATGCAGTAATTTTGAAATCATTATATATGTGAAATTGTGTGATTAGTAAAAGTGTAAAAGTGTAAAATTATACTCCCTCCGTTTTTTTTTAATGAATTTTCTAGCCATTATGTGTTGTTTCACAAAGATAAAATTTTTACCTTTTTAATGCACTTTTTCAGTTTTCAAGATACAATGATTATATTTGTTGGATTTTTATTGGTTTAAAATTATAAAAAGTTGTTGTATTGCAGAAATCTATGCACTAATAATTGAAAATCAACTTTTTCTTAATCTGTGTGAAAAAACTAGAAAATTTATCTTTAAAAAACGGAGGGAGTATCGTTTAGTAAATTACTGATTAGTAAATTAAAGCAGTAATTTCATCGTTATAATGCAGTAATAAACACACTGTAGCGTTTTGATCTTTAGCTTTTGCCTTCACGTGCTCTGTGTTTCACCTTTCTAACTCCATTTTCGACAAATTATTTAAATCCATTGCAGAATTAATGTAAAGTGAAAAGTCGGTGTTAGGATTAGAGTGATGAGTTCGTGCATCTTTTAAATGTCAACCACAACAGTGTAGAGGGACTGTAGAGGGACCTGACGTGGCGCTTAAGGTTCCACCGGTTTCTCTTTTAGAAGTCGGCATGGTTTATGTTGTCTGAATTTTTACTTTGTAAATTTTGTGATGTTTTTAGCTTATTTTTCTTGTTGGGTTCATAGAAATATAGAATCATCTGTGTTTGACTTTTGCAAAATCAAGATGGTCAAAAGTGTTAACACTACAATTAAATATTAATTAGCACATAATAATTAATACTATATCATGTATGATATCAAGGGTCATATACTAATTCGTATATCATCATCATCACCAATTCACCATCATCATACGTTTGAGAAAAAGAAAAATCTATATGGGATCGTGATTTTGGGCTTTTAAGTCCGAATTAGTAAACATGGACCGAACCGGTTGAGTTTTGTTTGGGTTTTTGACTTTTGTTCAGTTCCTCTTCTTTTATTATCTATAAAGAAACGTGGCGGAAGAAAATGTAATCACCACAGAAAAAAAGAAAAGGAAATTGTTTGTTATTTTTGGTTTTCCTCTTTGTAAGGTTAACCTAACTTGAATGGGATTGGGTTTTCCTCTTCAATCGTGATCTTTATTTATATAAATATATACATCGGGAGGCGGAAGAAATCTGTAATCAGACAGAGGGAGGAAAAGTAAGGTGTCGTGTCTCTATTTTGTTTTGAACTAGATCTGTTCTGGTAAGAACTAATCCTATTGTGATCTCTATTTTTTGTTAGGCTAAGAGGATTATAAGAAGAAAAAAACAATCAAAGTTTGCACTAAATCGATCCTGGTAAGATAAGATGAAGAAGACGATGATGTCGAATCTTCCAAGGGATTTATCGGAGGAGGTGCTGTCTAGAATTCCTTTGACAAGTCTGAGAAAAGTCCGATCCACTTGCAAAAAGTGGAACACTTTATCCAAAAGCAGCTTCTATATCCAGAAGCAGCATCTTGGTCAAGAAGCGAAGGAGTTAATGGTGGTGGTGATGGATTATAGTGTTTATTTGATGGGAGTCAATCTTTGGGACAAGGAATCATGTATAAAGCGCCAAGGCAAACTTATTTTCCCCGGTTCAGATCAAATCGAGGTAGGCCAAGTTTTTAATTGCGACGGTTTATTGTTATGCGTGTTGAGAGACCACACTAGGCTGGTGGTTTGGAACCCGTATTGCGGGAAGCCCCTGTGGATCGAGCTCACAAATAAACTCAATATATGGCCCCATTCTTCGTATGCCCTCGGATACGACAAGAGCAGCAACTCCTACAAAGTCTTAAGATTTAGGGATTATTCTATGACCGGGGTTTCCATTGATTTCACAATCCACGACCTAAACTCTGATTCATGGAGGGTTCTTGATATCACTCCAGACTGGAAGGTGACTTTCTTTCATGCTGGCGTGTCTCTCAATGGAAATACCTACTGGCTTGCTACGAAGGCGGGGGAGTCAGACGAGTATGAAGATGGTTGCTTGGTCTGTTTTGATTTCACAAGGGAGACATTTGGGCCACGGTTGCCTCTGCCTTTCGAGCATGTGCTTGAAGATACTGTGAGTCTATCTGTTGTCAGAGGAGGAGAGAAGCTTGCGGTTTTGTTTCAGCCATGGGATACTTTAAAGGTGGAGATATGGGTTACGAGCAAGATTGAGCCCGACGCGGTGACGTGGGAAAGCAAGGTGTTCTTGGAAGCGAGTTTGAAAAAATTCATTCACCCTATGTTTCAGTTTCGCATTAGAGGTGCTAGTTTCTTCATTGACGAGGAGAAGAAAGTCGCCATGGTTATGGATAAAGAGTTCGTTCTTCGCGCTGTACAGCCTACTCGCCACCAAGCTTACATCATTGGAGTGGATGGGTCCTTGAAGAAAGTTGATCTTGGAGAAGCTGCTGACAAACGGAATTTACCACTTGCGTGCTCTTATCTTCCAAGTTTGATCCAACCTTATTAGAGTTCACTTCACTTGTTTGGCTTGTTTGTTTTCTCTTTTTCTTCTTTGAACAAGATTGCTAGTCAATAAATATTTGTTTCTTTTTGTTTGCCATATATTGCCACTTGGTTTGTTTCACTGCTTGTGGTTGCTTAATATCCGAATTCAGAAGGCGAAGGCGATACTATTATTCTGTATGTACGCAGCAGCAAGAAAATGGGAGGAAGGTCGGATGGAGTTTGATAGAGCCGCGTAAAGGTGTGATTCACAGAATGTAATGCTAAAGGAGATGAGAGAAAAGCTGAAAAGCAGCTAGACACTAGACAAGTTCTGTTGCGGATTGAACAAGAGAATTAGATAAAGAAGCTGAATTAGAGTTACGGTCTAATGAACCACAACAACCAGAAGAAAGAGTCCAAAAATCTAACGAACCAATTGCCATTCTGTAACCAAGTTGCTGTTGCACATCTATCAACGAGACGAGACATGATTGTGAGAGACAAGCGTAGATTCCAGACGGATCTTGGTTCTTGCAATCACTCAGCTTTGTCAACAGTCTCAAATCCCCCACGGCCTTGAAATCTTCAGTTGCTTTCCTCCTCTCCCTGTAGCTGATTTTTCTTTTTCTTCGGATAAGAAGTTGTAGGACATAAGAGCAAAAGCTGTAACAGCGTCGGAACCACTTTCAAGTGACATACATGGATTGTGAGTTTTTTCTTAGAGATAAACCATGATCATCGCCGGTTGGGACTATCAGCTGCCACTGGACTTGGAGAACCTTCCGGGCTCAGCGATGATGCAGAGTAGATATCAAGAAAATCAGAAAATAACCCATTTCGGATCTTGTACACGGCAACACAAGTTTGGTAGAGAATCCTGCAACATGATGTATAAAGCTTTTACTAATCCAGAATCAAAGAGAAGACACTAATTAAGAGTAACACCTCTCCTTTACTAAGCCCTTTTAAGAGTGACCGTGTGTTTGTCAAGAAATCACTCACGCTTTCCCAACACCTTATAATCACTAGTGTCCATGTTGCCAACTCTACAAAATCATGAAACTTTCTTTTCGGAGCTATATATTATAATTCCCATCTTTCTCCTTCGAACACTATAAAAAACCAATCGATACCTTTCACTCTCATATCTCCCCGTCTCTTCTTTTCCATTAAAATGATGATCAATTCAGCTGTCTCGTCCTTGTTCCGTCTTACCTTATTCTTGTTCATTCTTCAAGTTTCTATCAACTCAAGGTCAAGTATCAACAGCAATCAATATTTCATCTCATTTGTTCTTTAGTCCTACTAAACAGACTTCTGTTGTGTTACTGCAATGAGGCTCACCAAGCTGTGCCAGACCAGAGAGATTGTGACAATCAACGGGAAATTCCCTGGCCCTGCGATAACCGCCCAAGAAGATGACAGAATTATCGTTAAAGTCATCAATATGACACCCTATAATACCACAATTCATTGGTATAAAAATTTACACATACATATAAAGCTTAAGCTAGACTAACAAGGATTTGTTCTAAAACGTGCAGGCATGGTATTAAGCAAAAACTATCATGCTGGTATGATGGTCCATCTTATATCACACAATGTCCAATTCAGAGGGGACAGAGTTTCACATACCACTTCACAGAAGGGCCACATTCTTTTGGCATGCACACTTTTCTTGGCTTAGGGCAAAAGTATACGGTCCGCTTATTGTATATATATATCCTAAATCTTCTGTTTCTTACCCTTTCAAGAAACCCTTCAATGAGCAGACAGTTCTCTTAGGGTAATCTTTATTCTTAAACTAATGTCAGTCTTTTCCCCTGATAAATCTATGCTCGAACAACATGTACTGGAGAGTGGAGGACGTCCTCCTATTGATGGTAAATAGAAATTGCTACGATTGGTCTATGACAAGAGAACAGACTATTGATCTTTGATTAATTATCTTAATATTTCAGATGTTTATGAGATTATTATAGTGCCAAGGAAGACATACTTGCTAAGGCTGATAAGTGCTGGCATTAACATGGAGAGCTTCTTCACCATAGCTAATCACACAGGTTGACCATAGTGGAAGTAGATGGCGAGTACACCAAACCTTTTACAACAGAGCGTGTGATGCTTGTGCCTGGACAGACAATGAACGTTCTTGTCACAGCTGATCAAGCCATTGGGAATTACTCCATCGCCATGGGTCCTTACGAGTCTGCAAACAAGGTCAAGTTTCAAAACACATCAGCCATAGCTAATTTCCGATAATTTGGTGCATTGCCTAACAGTGTACCATTAGCAGCTAAGTTACCCATTTTCAATGGTAATCTTGGTGTTAAGACTGTCATGGATGGGCTCAGAAGTCTAAATGCAGTTGATGTCCCAAAAGATATTGATGCTCAGCTCTTTATCACAATTGGTATAAATGTAAACAAGTGCAACTCTGAAAATCCAAACAACAAGTCCCAAGGCCCTGGAAAAGGAAGATTAGCAGCTTCAGTGAACAACATCAGCTTCATCGAACCTAAAGTCTCGATTTTGGAAGGTTATTACAAGCAACTGGAAGGATACTTCACTTTAGATTTCCCAACCGCGCCAGAAAAATCCTATGACTTTATCAATGGAGAGCACCCAATGGCATAGGCAATGACACTCAGGCTGCAAACGGTACCCGAGCAATGGTTTTCGAGTATGGGAGCAGAATACAAATCATCTTTGAGAATACTGGAACACTCACAAGTGAAAACCATCCAATTCATTGATGAGATCTACCATACTTACTACAGGAAGAAGAAACACTTGGGTGGAGGAGAAATGGGAGTCGATTTAGATGCTGACGTGGAGGGAAGGAGTCAATGAAGTGAAGGAAAGTCAAAAGCTTCGGGTTGCGTTGGAGGGTTTGCTGTTAGTTGTTGAGTCCCTTAAAAGAGCTAGTTTGTTGTAGCGTTTCTTTTATGCATTTTGTTGATTGAAAACCTGAGCCTGCGTGCTTAGTGACGAGCGTCATGAGTCCGTCGAGACTTGTAATCGACATTTGCAGTATTCAATCGTATTATTCAGTCTATTTCACTCTCTTTCCTTACAGTTCTTACTCTTAAATCTATCCTCAATCTATCATTCATCTTCACGGGGATAGCTTCTACGTTATTGGCTATGGCACAGGGAATTACGATGAACGAACAGCACAGTTTAACCTGGAGGATCCTCCTTACTTGAACACTATTGGAGTCCCTGTAGGAGGATGGGCTACAATTCGGTTTGTTGCCAACAATCCAGGTATTATTTTTCACAACACTCTTTAGCACACCGTCCCACAGACAGCTTCCTGCTAAGTTTCTTCTTATTAACTAACAGGGCTTTGGTTATTGCATTGCCACTTTGACATCCATCAAACATGGGGAATGATGGCAAGACGGCGCTAGAGTCTCAAATGTTTAATCTAGAGCAAATTAAATGTATTTCAACGGGATAGAGGCTATGGTATACAAGAGAAAAGATTCATGCAAAACAAAAACATTTTATTCAGGTCTTTTAATAATACACTTGTTCAAAATCCAATAATGAAAATCTCATGAGTTGCTACAAACTAGTGAGTCACATAAGCCAAATCACCCTCTCAGACATGAAAACTTAACTATGGGTTAGCCATTTCTGAAGTCCAGCACTTGTCTCCTGTTCCACTAACCATCGACGAAAACAAAAGCCTCCGGTTACTTTTCAGATTCAAGTAATCAACCTGTCACCAAATGAAATCATTAATGAATCAATCCGTCACAGCTAACACGATTCTACAAAGGGGACAACCGTACAGAAGAAAGAAATTTGTTTACAAGAACATAAGAGAACCTTTTCTGGCTCTAGAAGCAGCAGGAACTAGACCGCTTGAGGGATCTAATTCGACTTCTAGGTTCGATTGCTCGCTGCTGTAAGGACTACCGGGAGTAGGACAGGTGTACATCAGCCTTGACTTTAGAGGATTAGCAAACCAAGCTTTCTCTCTTTACAACATCAAAATCAAAAACAATCAAGACGAAAAGTCTCTCTTCCTTTCCAAGATATTATTAAAGTTTTGTATTTCACACCTGAAGCTTGGTCTGGTCAGGGATTCGAGGCATCAATGACATCAATTCTTCCACTGATCCGAAATCGCTCCCACGAATCCTGAAATACAAACATATCTCGAAAAACAACCACCATAAGGAAAAATCAGAGTACAATTCGGAAATGTTAATTCAAATCGACCTTGTAAAAAGATTCCTTACCTCGGAAAACGGACAATGCTTAAGCTCTTCAATCTGCAACAAAATGCAGAAATTTACAAAGCCGCAAAGAGAAACAGAATCCGGAAGTAACTTCAACGTAATCTGGAAAATTCTTAAGACCTTTCGACTACGAAGATCGGTGTTGATTCGAATCATATCGCTGTTCTCTTCAAATCCCCTACCAGAAAACACCACCGACAAAAAGTGTCACTACCCAACCAATAAAAAAACGAAAATTTCTTACAATCACGCTTTCGTATCACCTGAATACGACGGTGCGATTCGAAGGCCGTCCATTTAAACCAATCGTCGCCTGAAAACACACACACAGCATCAACAAATGAACACCAGCATCGCTCCTTGTGAACGTGAAAATGAAAAGACATACGAGCTGAACGTAAGAAGAGTGGCTCAAATGAGAATTAGCTTCGATCGAACCAAAGAGAAGCTGGTTCCATGGCGCTACAGTTAGTTGTTCCCATCGTCGTCGTCACTGATCCTCGGCCTGTCGGCGATAATATTTTCAGTTATCACACATTCTTGTCGGCAACACAAAACGGCGTCGGTTCCTGCTTATTGTTGTGTCGGGCCGGTTAATTGATATCTACTGGGCCATAATTAATATTGAGCCTGATTTTTCTAGCTCGGTGATTTAAGAGAAAGATCTACGGACCGACACAACAACTTGGAGGACATGTGTGTCAAGTGGCAAGTCGTTAAAGTAAAACGGCAGCCAAGAGGGAGCTGGAACAGTGAAACGACACGATAGATGGAGTGATAAAAAGATTGGGTGGGAGAGGGTGTTGGGTAAGAGAAGACAGATGTCATCATCAGAAAATAAAATAAAACTTGAACAGTCTTTTAAATTTGTAAGAAAAAGCAAGAAAGAAAAACGAAATCTCAATCTCAATCACGCCACGCACTGTGGGACCCAGCTCTACTCTCTTTTTTGTCTTCTCATTCCTAATTCTTCTCTCCCTCGTCCTCTTTTTAAAAATTCTCCTCATTTGAACATTCCATATAGATGTTCTATATAAGATGCAATCCATCACTTGTTAATGAGTTTTCCTTTGAATTTCTTACTAGTTTATTCCTTGTACAAATTTTAAGTAAGATAATCGCCTGATGGAATTGATACTGGAGGGTTTTCATCATTCATTAAAACAAGATGTTTTGAATAAATAAGAGGTTGATCTTTATCACTTTAACTAAAATCCAATCATATTTAACTTTAGATATGTTTGATGTATTGACCTTTTATTACATACATCTGAAGAGCCAAATATAGTGCTAAAATAAACATAAATGTAAGTAGATATTGGTTTTGTTTGGTAACATTATCATGAAATGGCATAATCATATACAAACAAAAGGACTAATAGTATGAGTATGACAGACGGAAGAAAAAAAAAATGAATTTAACTGATTTTTTTATAGTAACTTTATAAAATGGTCGACAAATAAAAACTTAATAGTATATAAAATGTTGATCATCATGAACTGCACAACAATCTAAGATAACTTAACATAAATTTTGATCTTAGAACTCGTGTAATTGAAAAGAAAAAAACATACGAATCTAATCAGTTTCGTAAAATCTAGATCGGTATAAGTACACTATAATAGATATATATATAATCGTAAAATTTAAAGTCGAGCTAAAATTTAGGTGTCGAAGCCACTAATCACATGTACGCAAGACATTTGGTGTATATACATATAGGTACGGTATTGGGATTTTAATAATGTACTGTACTAGGCGGTTTGATGGACCATATGGCCAACAAATAGTATCCAATCACAAAATAATGGGAGGCCGAGAAATAGCATACACCAAATGATTCTAAAAATGACATTAGAATCACTTGTAAAAATGATGCAAAAAACGAAATTAAGATCATTTGAAAAAGTGATACTAAAAAGAAGATTAAGATCATTTGTAAAAATGATACTAAAAATGAGATTAAAATTATAAAAAAAAAAATATATATATATATATATATATATATATATATATATCTTTAGTTACATGGTGTCAATGTTGGAAAAAACCATGTAAGCTTGGTGAGGATTGAAGTAACTACTGGATGTGGCTTGACCTCTTCTGCTAACTATACAAAACAACATCAATGTATCATATGAAAAAAAACATTATGTGGACTTTGAGATTTTAAGATCGTATGGTATTCATTGTGTGAATACAAATTGCAAATTTTTGATAACCGAGAGATATATATCCGACTGAAATTCAGATTAATCCCCAAAACATATGCAAAGGAAGATATTTTGTCATGAAAGAGGTCCACAAGTATATATCATTATCAAATTTGTAGTTAAGGCTAATCACTCAACCTTTAAAAGTATTTAAATTGAATTTTTTTAGGCTTGTAGCAACTAGCAAGTAGTGGTGAGCATGGACTAGAAAGTAGAAACTAGTAGGTAAGAAGATAAGGTAGGGTGATCTCACTAGTTTTTGTATGATTCTATTGGAATCATTATCAGTTTTGGACCTAATCTTTAAAACATGACAAATGACATATTATAACTAGAAAATGGTTATTTTCGTATCTTTTTAAAACACCAAAATTAATCACACAGTTCTAGACTAATGATAAAACTAAGAAACAAAATCCCTAACTAACGTAAAAAGTAAAAACACTAGAGAAATGAAAGAAAAGAGAGAATCACAAACCTTAGACATGGGAGCAACTAAAAAACGGCACCGTCCCAAAAACCAGGCTTCTTTCTAGCTAGTAGCAACACAACTGCTCCTCCCATGGATTCTCCAAGTAGAAACCTCATATTTTCTTTATTCTCTTCTTTCTCTTCAATTTTAACCAATCATTTTTTAATTTAGTAAAATAATGAAAAATTTTAAGCATATAACTAAGGTTTTTCAAAAGAAGATTAACACAAATTGTAGAGTAATGAACAGAGACATCAGCAACAAGATCATCAAAGTTACTGATGTAACCACTTAAACCCTCTGATTTTCCGTGTCCTTCATAGTCCATTCCATAGAACGCAAAACCGGTCTTGGCCAGCCTCGTCGCTGCGCCTGATTAATCCCATAATTTCATTTGTAAATATATCTAAAATTTGATAAGAGATATCAAACGAAAGAAAAAGTGCATAGTAGAAAGGATGAGAGACGAAACTGTTCATGGTGATGCTGGACTCCATAGCATAGCAATGGCACAAGAAGAGCAAGGCCTTTGGTTCTTGCTTAACTGGTTTCCATACACAAGTGAACAGCTTCATGCGTCGTGACTCGTGAGTTCAACACAAATTCCTGAAAAATACAAATGGAACTCAACCTTTAAATAATAGTTCTCTACTTATATCTACATGAGCTGAAAAAAAAATGTACAGTCACTAACCTCTTCCTACATAACCAGGATGCTCTGTTTTTATACAAATAGAAAGATATTTTTTTTGTAGAAGAAGAAGAAGAACTGTGGATGTTTGCCGAGGAAAGAGCTAAGGAGGTTGTCAGCACCATCCAACCTGTCTTTGTTTCAGACCAAAGTAGGAACGAGTAAAGACTCTCTTAAAGGACCGTTTTGCAGTTGAGGTTAGAGTTTTGGTGCTCCATTTTTCACATGTGAGGGTCTTATTTGAAATCTTGTTTGGTGAACTTTCCTACGGTCACCACTTCTTAGGAATGCTGTATCAGATGGTGTCTGGTTGAGTTTTCTTGCTGTGTGATTAGATTTGGAGTCAAAACTCATTTCATCACGCTTATGCTGATGTTCAGTATGTGCCTGCACAGGTTTGCTTAGTTTCCCTGCAAGAAAACTCATTTCATCAATGCTTATGCTGATTTTCCTCTCATTGGCGTTTTTGAATCGTAGGTCAAGGTCATAAAATGCAGGATCAGGAACATTTCTGTCGAAATCTCCTTCTAACAAACGGCAGGGCTCTGTGCTTTATGTTGTCCTGGAGCAGGTAAAACACTTAAATACCTTGCGCTTATAAACAGTTTTTTCCATCATCTGTATATCCTCAGCTTATTTGGTAACTCTTTGATTGTGTTGCTTTGTTTAGGTTGACCAAGGATCACCTGTTCAAGCGTAGCATCATTTTGGTTAAGGCCTGGTGCTGTTATGAGAGTCGTTTCCTCGGTGCCAACACTGAACTGATTTCAACATATGCATTGGCCATACTGGTCCTTTATCGGTGAGCATTTGTTTTAAAAATAACCTGAGCTTATTTTGGGCATTGCTTGCAAGATTAACAGATGAATCTCTAATCTCTATCATGAACACTGAACAGGAGCTGCCTAAGTTATGTAACTTATCTAATCATGTTTTTCCAATCATATATCTTAAGACTTATATAATGGCCAAAAAGATATTTTTTTATAGAAGATAATCCAAACTTTGACAGTATTCCAATTCCAATTCCAAAAGAGATGTATCATTATAAGCTACAAACTATAAGCACAGGTGGTAGCAGCAGCAAAGAATACCGTACAATTACAATTTCAAGTAGTAAATGCATTTACTAAGTGGTAAAAAACTCTATACTTCTAAAGTTTCGGACTGTACTACATAGAATCCTATTGCTCCAGAACACCGTCTTGATCTTCAAACTATTGCTCTACGAACAGGAGACCGGCTGTTAGAAAACAAAAAAAACAACGAGAAACAAAGAAATTAAGGATTCCAGTAATGGAAAGAGTTAGAGAAAGAAGGCAAGTAATTCTTAAATAGGTAGTAAGCATTGTTGTTACCTGTTTTGTGTGCATCTTCCTCGTTCGCAGATTGAACAAATGCAAAGTTGCGACTGATGCGGACGTTGAGAACTTTACCATACGAGTCGAAGTGTCTACGCTCTTTTGTGTCAAAGTTGATGACGAACAGTGTCTTAGTAGGCCTCCGATTCGAGGCTCCCTTTCCATCACGAGGCTTCCCAAGCTCACCCTGAAAGCCAGAACAAACTTATAACTCCCTCAAAGAAAGAAGCAGAACAGATCATTCGTTAGAAGAGAACAAACCATATACCTTGGCCCATTCAATTGATGCCTTTCCTTCTTTCCCACGGATTGCATCTTCAGCATCACGCTCGTCTTCAGCATACACAAAAGCATAACCTGCAAGATGATAGTAAACACACAAACTGATAAGCAAACGCACAATATCAAACTCAGCCCACAGAATTTCCAATGCAGGAGTTTGTCAACAAGAAGACACCTCTTTCAAAATCTACATGGGTGACTTCGTTGGGTTTGCCAAGGCTCTTAAGTAAGTCACATCCCTTCTGTCATTTCAGAATTAATATGTCAACAAAAAAACGATAAAAGCCTCCTAGTTGCATACTGCATTCACACAACTACTCCAGAATACTAACCTCCTCCAGCAGTTTTATCAGATAGTTGTCCTGTATACCTGATACCGTAGCCATATCGCTAAGAGTGAAAGATGGCTTGTGAGAAAGTTTCACCAAGTTCTACTACTGTTTCCATAACCACCTGTTATTCGACAGATTATACACATATGAGCGGAAAGAGAAACACACTGGTATGATCTAACATCAGTTCTTAATCAAACAGGATGTTAAGAAAAAATGAAACAGTAATAAATTTTAAGACAAGGTTCAGGATATTCGTACTCTTGAATTGTAAGGTTTCGTCACCACAAGTTCTTTGCCTGGTGTTGAGGATACTCGAGAACTTGAAGCCACCGCCATCAGTTCTTTCCTCCAACCCTCCTGTCATTTGTCATTTCAGATACAAAGTCTAATATGTCCACAAGCAAACCAGAAAAGCCTCCTAATTGCATAGTGCATTCCGTATAGACAAAGGATAGAACAAATTCCTCGCCTCTACTTCACAGCTTACTAATCTTTGTATTCCTAAACATACTGAGAATAAAAAACTAAGGGCTATGTCTAACCTCGAGCAGTTTCAAGCTTGGAACTCGCTTCACTTGGGCATCCTCTATAGCCGTAGCCATTTCATGAACCTGGGGAACAACAAACACACACGGCAACACCACACATCATTATCAGTCGGTCATCGTCCAGGGAATCAATCAAACACATCATATCAGTCGGTCATCGTCCAGAGAATCATATAAACTTCAGGAAAACCTTTCTAGTACCTGTTGCAGGTTTCCAACGCTCGTAGCCTCAGCAGGGAACACATCATACGTATCAGAGGAGATGGCTCCAGTCGAAGTCCAATCCTTGAGCAGTGGCTCTGTAGAGCTAGAATCGGCCGCATCCTGAAAGAAAGAACATTTAAGCCCTGATTCTCAATGTCTAATGTACACACAGTTTCTCTTTCAAAGGGGTTGATTAAAAGATTAATAAACCAACACAAACCTGATCATCTAGGGGGTTATAATCTGGATCTCCAACCAGATCGTCCTCTTCCTCCAAGTCTGATTCACCCTCTGCTTGGTTACCGACTTCTTCATTGGCATTCAAGTCGTCCGCCACATGACCACCGTGATTCTCTTCATCGTCGTTTTGATCATTAGCAACTTCGTTTTGGTTTACCACTTGAGGAGGTACATCAACGACCCTATAATGCACCATGGCAAGCCCCGGATGATTCTGATTTGCATCAATTTTGGCGTGATGAGTTCTTCTCTGGAACTCTGTAACAGGAGTCAACGTAAGGATGGCCTCTGTATACCCAATTCTGGGATAAGTGGAGTTGCCCTAAAAAACGCCCCAATTAGAAAACCTAGAATTCAATTTCAGATAGAAACAAAACAAAATGAAGAAAAGAACCAATCTTTACCAACTTCCGCGAAACGCAATTACGCCTGCGCACTTGATTAACATCGCGCCAAGGGTAATCATCAACGTAGAAATCTTCATCGTAGATGAACAAACCTTCAACAAACGGCGCTGGGCCTGGGGTTTCTTCGGATATGGGGAATTGCTGAACGGCATGTCGCTGATACAGAGCTATCAGGTCTTCCTTCTCTAGCCACTCCTCCATGGATCGATTGAGGATCTCGATTATAGGGTTCTCCAAATTCGGATCCAGATTTACATGCTGAATATTCTCCATGATGCAGATGCGGTAGATTCCAGAAAAAAAAAAAATCGAGAAGGGAAGTGTAATGCGAGAGGAAAGGAAATCGAAAGAAATTAGTCGACTGTTTCGATTTTAGTTGTAAAGGGAAATTTTGTTTTGATCGAAGACGGAGAAGAAGATCATATATGTATAACTTAAGTGAAATTTGTCGCTTCATTCGAGGGTATAATGGGAAACTAAGATTCCATTTCCCATTATACCCTTCTCCGCATAAGCGAAGTTGGCATAAGACCGAGGGTAAACACGTCAAAGACTCTAATTTACTAGATCCAGACGACACGTCAGCACCACCCAAACGTTTTATTTCCCCGGTAAAATTTAATTGGAAGATTTTGTTTTTTTCTTAATCATTTTCTTAACCCAAAATAAATCAATAAGTTTATTTGTGCCGTTTTTGACATAATCAAAACAAATGCCAAAAAAATGAGTTTTATAAAGCGGAAGTGTGAAAGTGAAACTCCCTCACTTTCTATTTTGTTTTCTTTATAATCAAATAAATGCTTAAAATGATTACAAAATTTTACTCTTAATGAAAGCAAAGCAAGATTGGTTTGCTATCCTGATAAATATATAAATATTTCCGGTCCTCTCTTTGCATAATGTCCTAGTCCAACATGATCTTTCGGCCAAATTTTCTTTTTAGCTTATGGCCTTCATAAGTTCAGGGACAGCTCTGCCACTAACCATTTTTTTTTTTTGGAAATATAAAATCTTTAATTTACTACTACTCTCTTAAAAAAAAAGAATTTGCATTTATCTTCAGATAGTTTCCCTTTCAAAACATCACATATGGATACCACTTGAAGTCCTTAACTAAACCCATGTGTTGCAACGCAAATCAAGCATATGCAAATCAAACACAAGTAACAGTAAAAAAGAATGGAATGGCTAAAAAATCAAAGATGTGATTATGTGAAGTAGAGTGAGATTTGTTTGTTTTGCGTTTCTTCATCATGATTGATATTATTGGATTTGGCAAAGTCAGAGTCATAGAGTCCACCAAATCTGAGCGTCAGTGATTCTGCTTTGAGTTATATGACTTCGTGATGTGCATCAACAATTATTCAGCATTTTTATCGACCAATCAATATTCACATTTTTGTATGTGATTCTTTTGGTGTCATACCACTTGATTTTCTTTCTTGGACTCAGGAAATTTCTTCTTCCCATCTTAACGCATCGAAAAACGTTTTTTGTGTGTTGCTTCTTTTTATGTCAAAATATATACACCATCGATCCAACATGTTTCAAAGCTTTGTCGTTAGTTTCTTAAGTATGTATATCAATTGTATGTATATCTTCTTATTTATCTTTCGTATTGTATTTTAAATGGTATCCCTCCTCGGAAGATGAATAAATAAAGTTAAAAAAAAAATGTATATCAGTTGTACAACTGTAAATTTTACCAACGATTTACAATTGATGTAACCATTGCCGATAACCAGTAACTCGGTCTATGAAGCCTGGTTAGGTACTTGAACTCTCAAAGTCTCAAGAACTTAATTTAAATGTAATGGAAAGGCAAGACACCAAAACGATATTTTATCTTCATCTTCTGTTAAAAGATATTATGTTATAAACAATATATGTAGTTATTTAATAATAGTGTTTGAGTTTTATGGATTATGAATAGTTTATAGTTAACTAAATAATCTTACGTATAAATCTAAAAAATCAAGCAGTTTTCTTCGAGCAACAAACAAATGTATTTCATTTTGCACATTTTATCATTCCCTGTCAATCATCATTACGATTTTATCAAGAAAAGGTTTAAACCATTATAATAACCCATGCATTTCACATGTCGTGGACTTGTGGGGAATACTACTATTTTTGCATTTGTTATTAAATTTGCCATATCTCTTTAAATTCTTTCTTCCAAACTTCAACTTAAAAATAGAATTAATGTAGTTCCCACCACATGGCAGGTGCTTTAATAATTAAAAACCTACAATTAGCATGATGCGTGTTTTCTATATTGTGAGTCATAATTAGGCACTCGATATGGAAGGTACAAAGTTCCTTAACTGTTTCCAAAAGCTAATATTTAGTTTCTTAATCATGTTTTGGTGT